GGTCTGTGCAGTAATTGATTAGACATGCCTGCCATGGGTGAAGAAATAGAAGGAACTGTTAGGTGTCTGCTGACCCTTTGGAAATGGAGACACTGATGCTTGAACCTGTCTCTTTCAAGTGGTGTGTTGTGGGACCTCTAAGCCTCTGAAGAGAGCTCTCTTTGAGGGTCGACCATGAGAGAAGACCAGGCTCAAACCTGGCCTCAACACACGACCTTGTCTGAACAGAATGGCTCTGAACCAGCTCCCTAGGTTGTTCGTCAGATGTAACCATGCCTTCTGGCCCACTTTCTGGAAGAACTGGAAGGCTGAAAAGAGTCAGAACCTTAGGCCTGAGAGGGGGTGCTTCTCTTGTGTGACCCTCCATGTCTTTTGAGGGGGTCTTGGACAAGGGCCTTGTTTTGTCTGCCCCAGGGAGACTGTCTGGGCACTGCATCTGTTTAGCCTAATGATTTGGTCTCTGCAATCAGCAGACTCCATTTGGTTTTCAAGTTGAAGCAGGAAAGATTTTGCTGATTGCTGATTACACAGGCACTAAATGTCTCAAATCCTTCTCCTTAAGGTATTCCTCCTGAGTCTGATGTGTATCCCCTGACGGAGGAGGTTGAAGGGTCATGGTAGAGGGTGTTGGGGTACTAGCAGGTCCCCGAACCTTGTTCTTGCCAATTGACAGCTGCCCCTTTTTATTTTTTGCTGGAGGGTACATTTGCTCCCCAGAGACAGAGGGAGAGGAGAAATCACCCCCAGTGGGAAATAGTCACTCTGCAATTCCTTCTCCATCACTCCCTCCTGTCAAGATTTAGAGTACGCACTCACATGTACCTGGCATATTTCTCAAGCTGTCAGATCTGAGACTTGAACCACAGGGCTGGGCAAGTGTGATCCAGTCCACCTTAACCACCAGACCAATAGCTGTCATATTCTTAACTCTTCTCACTCTAGCTCAACTTTTTGGCTGCCCTTGTTTTTCATTCATGTCTTTGCTGTGCAGGACAGTGAAAAGGCTTTGAAGTCTGAGTCCTGCATTTCAGTCTCCTTATCTGCTGTGCAACCTTACCAAGTCTTCTCAGTGGCATAGAGACAATATCACCCTTTGTGAGGCTCCTCGTTCTCCTCTAAGAACTAAATGATAGCAATGTCACTGTTAGTCAAGACTTCCCACTCTGCCAAGCTCATCTACTCACAAAAGACCTTTGCAAGAGAGACTGCTACTGCCCCCATGTTACTGATGTTACAAGCAAGGGTCAGAGAGGTTCAGTAACTTGCTAAAGGTCACATAGCCAGAGAGCACAGAGTTAGGATTTGAACCTGCAGCTTAGCTCCAGAGCCTACTTCCACTTTCATGATATTAGGGGTTTGACCCATTTCGGATCTCTCTGCTTAGCTCCAGAGCCTACTTCCACTTTCATATTAGGGGTTTGACCCATTTCGGATCTCTCTTTCCTCTGCCCACCCACTTAGTCAGAGTCTAGAACCACCCACCCTTGATACATAGCACCTTCCAGTGTCCCTCTCCTCCACCCACTAGGAGGCTTCCCGAAGGTGTAGACTTCAGCCCCTTTCTGCCTTTAGATGACAGCAGCATGGGCAGGGTTTCCCCAAGCAAAACTGGGAGGGGAGGTCTGTGCTAGTTTCTCACATCTCAGCACACGTGGTCTAAAGAGCCCTCACTGGGAACCCAACACTTGCTCACCCACCTGAGCTTAGCGCTCTCCCAGCTGCATGATCATTCATCATATTGCTGCTTTGGTCCTCAGCTCCCCACTATCTAAAACAGACATGCAAACTTGATGGTTTGTGGAGAGGATTCAGGATACCTAGCACATGCCTATGGCATGTGGACTTGTGGACATGGAAGATGTAAGACAGAACCCAGATTCCTCTGCCTCTATGTCATAGGAAGACATGGACCACATCTCCTGGGGGAAGGTGTTTGATTCCGAGTGATGCCATTGTCTCGATCCACTAGGAAAGAACTGAGCTTGGACAGATGCTCCTGTAAGCTGCTAGGATTTTGTATCCAGGCGTTTTTCTAGGTGTGTTGATGAACTGACATCTGGTGCCCTGGAGTGGGCACCTGCCTCGCTGTCCCTCAGTGTCCTTTATTTCCTCTGACAGTCCACTGGCCTCCAGCCTGGGGGTTCCTGCCTCAGCTTATCTCTTCGCCTGTCAGTCCTGGAGTGGGGATTTCACAGCTGGCAACTTCAATCAACTAAAGCGTACAGCCATTTCCTTCTCACGTGGACTCTGCTGCCCTCCATGCCACCCCTTCTCTCATCTGTTTGGCTTGGTCCTTGTGCTTGTGTAGTCTTTGCCTCTCTCTCTTTTTAAAGTCAGAAAATACCCAGAATTATTTGAAAGGCACACACTGAACAATAATGTGAATGGTCAAGCTGATCTACCATGGAGAGTGGAGCGTGCCCCGTAACAGGGAGAAGCTATGGTCCTTGTTGATTTCCACTGGTGTGTATACAAATAGCCTCAGAAAGGTTACTGCAGCAGGAGCTGAGAAGACTAGGGTTCAATTCTAAGATCTGCTCCTTGCTTACAACGAGTGACCTCACTGGCCTTCGTTCCAATGGCAAAACAGAAAACATCTCAGGGTCAGAGAGGTATGAGCTGTTCAAGGTCACATAGCCAGTGAGTTCAGTGGGGAGTTTGGAATTACACTTAGATCTGACCCTGGATCACCAGTTGGTACAATGGCTATTTCGCTGGATTCCCATGTAGTAGACCATGGTTCTAGTCCCGGGCCTGGTGGCTTAAACTCATGCTGGGCACGTGTGTGTGTATGTCCAAGCTCCCAAGAGAGGAATGGAGGAGAAGGGATTGTGGCGTGTCCATCCTCCCTTGGGGGTGATTTGTTACTTTCTGTCTCTCTGCCTCATTCTGTCTTCCTGGTGAGAGCATGTGCCCTGTAGCAAAAACAAAACAAAACAAAACAAAACAAAAAACTGACCCTAAGTCCTTATATTTTCACCTCTATACATTCTCCTCCATTGGTATATGTGTGCTCCTTTAAACAATAGTCAAAAATCAAATATTACGAAATTAGAACAATTTAGAATAAAAGTCCCATTCATAACTCCACTTTTGCACCTATTAATATTCCCACCCCTCCAGGTCTGTTTCCAAGTGTGTGTATTTATCACATAGATTCCGGTTCTGTTTGCTCCACATTATCTTACAGAAGCATTCCACGCTACCACAGTCCTTATTTCTAACATTAATGCCTGCCTAATAGCATCAAAACGACACGCTGTGATTTCGCTAACCATTGCCAATTGCTGGGTGATGAGGCAGCTTTCAGTTTCTCTCTGTCATCAATAGCACCGCTCTAAGCATCCTTGGGCACAGAGATTTGCTTTGCTTTTTGATTTATTCTTCATAGGATTACTTCCAAAATGTGGGATTCTAGATTTAACCCTGGTTTTCAGACTCAGCACTCTTGACATTCAGGCCGGATAATTCTTTTTGGTAGTGGCAGTGGTGGTCCTGTGCTTTGTAGAAGGTTGAACACTGTTGCTGGTCTCTACCTGTTAGATGTCAGTAGCATGCCCCCCAAATTCTGATGTTTAAAAATGGGAGAGTGTGAGAGGAAAGGAACCAAGGAGAAAAATAGGCAAGACATAGAAGAGATTCAGAAATGGAGGACTATCTATTGATAACATGTATGGTATCTTCAGCTGGACTGTGAAATGCATTCATGTTGGGTAACTCATTTTATAAGCTGTAGTGATATACAGTGATTGGATATATATAAAAAATTAAAATTAAATTAAAAAACAAATAAAAATGGCTCCAATTGGGGATACCAGATGGTATGGTGGTTAAGGTGCTGGATTACCACATGGCTGACCAGAGTTCAAGTTCTGGGTCCAGCAGCTTGAAGATCACACCAGGAGTTGTCTGTATGTGCCCAAAACCCTGAGAGAAGAATGGAGAAGAGATCGTGGTGTGGCCATCCTCTCCGAGGGGTGATTTATCATTTTTCCTCTTTCTATCTCTCTCTCTATCTCTATCCGGCAACCACACACACCCTATGGCAAAAAATATATAAAAATAAAAAGTCTCCAGAGATTGCCTTGGGTCCCCTAGGGTGGAGGCCAAGTCATTCTCAATGAATAATCATAATGGTAAAGGGTAGGGATCTGTCAAATAGGTTGCAAATGGAGCTCAGGGGTTTTCCAGAGTCCAGACAAAATCTGATTAGGGAAGCATGAGAGTACTGAGTACAGAGAATGAGCACTGAGAGGGGAGTCAGAGGCACTGAGCTCAAGTTCTCACACTGCCATGAGCTCTTCACCTTTCAAGGTCTCAGTTCCTCCCCTGTGAAATGGGAGAAATAGTAATGACTCCTGCCAGTCTTTGAGGAGTGAGTGTGGTCATGAAGACAACTCACCCAACCCAGTGCTGACTAGAGAAAGCACGCAGGGATTGCCAGCAGTGTCTTCTGCTCTAAGAAAGGCCATTGGGTTTTGTATCTTCACCTTTGCGGAGCACAGAAAGGTGGAGGCTACTGGACGACATAATTGAAAGAAAGCCTTTCTTGTTCTGTCTTCCCCACAACCTCCTGCACCATATCCATCCCTAGGGCATGGCTTCCAAAAACAGCCTCTGTGGCTGTTCTTGGTTTCATTTTCAGCCTTCCATTTAGAACGAGTTGAACACCTACTGTGTGCCAGAAAGCATTGTGGTGTAATTTCTGAGTATGGCTTACTAGGTGAGAGACACTGGGTTCAGCACCCCCTGCATGAGTGAGCAAGCTCTGCTTCCCTGGATCTCATGCCCTGGGGCCTTGAGCTCCATTCCTTTCTCTATAAAGTGTTGAGCATCTGTCTGAGGATCCCATAAGCCCATCTGTAGAGTTAGTCTTTCATAGAGTGCCTACCAGGTCATAGGAGCTAAGCTCAGCCTGTGTCTGTTCCCTCCCAGGAAGATCTCATGGGTGGGTAGGGTTCTTGCTCAAGGTCAACACACATTGCTGTCTCTGTCTCCAGGAGAAGTACGTGGAGGAGCTTGCAGCAGTGAGGCAGACCCTCCAGACAGACCTGGAGACGTCCATCCGGCGGATTGCAGACCTGCAGGCAGCCTTGGAAGAGGTGGCGTCCAGTGACAGTGATACAGAAAGGTAAGTTGCAAGGGACAGGTGGGGTTAGGCACAACAGGTGAACTGGATACTGGGGAGCTCTGTGGTCTTTAACAGGTCTGGGGACCACATCTGCTGAGAGACCCATTCCAGAGTTGGAGAGATAACTGGCTTGCCTGAATAAAAAGAGACAGGATGCTACTAACCTCCTTCTTACCACTGAAACTAAGCTAAGCAAATCTTGGGCAAAGCAATGTAGCCAGAAAGTAGATGGCAGTGTGTGATCTTGAGAAGTTATATGTCTGAACTTATTTCCATCATTTATAAAGTGGACATAATAAGAGAATGCATCAAGGAAATAGCCAAGAGTCAACCACTTTTTATCTGTGGACTGGAAGCTTCATATATCCAACCTCCTGCTTACTTCAGAGGGTTGTGAGAGTTGAAAGTGTTTCTAGATGAGTATCACTGAGAATAATGCTGGCGTGTGTAAGTGCTACATATATGTAAGCTATGTTTGCACAAAAGAATAGGCATTATTTTACAAAGGCAATGGCTGGCTCAAGGATGCAGGGTTAAAGGACTAAAGATTGATAAAACCACTCAAGTTCCATGTCAGGGCTTCTTGACTTTTTCAGAAGATAGGTTTCTTCCTACCATCTGCACGAGAGTACCAAGCAGCCGTAGGCTATGGCTGGGCCATTCAAGTGGAAGGAGCTTGAGGTGTCTTAGCTGAGCACATGGGTCATCCAGCCCCTGCAAATGACCAAAGCCTCCTGTTTACAGGAGGCATCTCTGCCCCCATCCCATCCTCTAGGGCAAAACCTGGCAACAGAAAATATTAGGTTGTCATAAAAGTCATGACTCATTTTTGCATAGAAAAAAATACATCATGACTTTCCCAGTGACCTAATAATATCCCATAGCTTTGCAATAATGAACCTACAGATTCAGTTCCCTCCCTATGTCTATAAGCCCACTCTACACATACGTGAGCAGGCCACACTGGAAATCAACCCTTCTTGGTCCTCTCTGCCAAGGGCTGGTTCCTGCTTCATCTGGAATAATCAAATCTCAGACCTTGAGTGCAACCCCCTTTTTTTCCACAGGAAGACTCTGACCTCTGAGAAGTTTAAGGTCACACAGCAAAGTAAGGTTAGACTGAGTTAGGATCCAGGTGTGCCGAGCTTCCTACCCAGATCTTTGCCACCTGCCCCTTTCTTACCAGGTGGAGGCAGGAGATGACTGCTGACCTTTGGGAGGTGTGGACATGGGATGGATAAGGGGAGCAAAAATAGCTACAGGGCAGCTCTAGTTTGGCCACTGGGAAGAACTGGACATCTGTATTAGGACTGACCGTTTCTAAGTAAGAAGAAAAACGTGGAAGGAAACACAAAAACATTTGATTGGTTAATTGATTGCTAAGAGTGCATATGCTCCCCAAAGAAAGAGATGGAGAGACAGAGAGTAAGAAGGAGGGAGGGAAA